GCTAACTTTCTGCCTGATCCTCAAACTGTGATCCTCCTGATCTCCATCTCCTAAGTAGCTGAATTATAGGTATGAGCCACCACACACAGTCTGAACAGTAAGTTATCATTAGGCAAATTTCACCAATTGTCTCAAAAATACCTTATGGTTGTTTTGTCCAAGTCAGGGTAAAAAACAGGTCTACTCATGATATCTGGTTATCACTTCTCTTAAGTCTCTCTGAAATATCTTTAAGCCTCTACCAGATCATCTACTTTAGTTTTTCCATGACTTTGACTTGTTGTGGAAACCATGTCAGCTATCCTACAGACAAGAGGCAGTACTTACCTACTCTCCTAGGTCCTGTATCTCCTTTAGACTAGAAATTAGCCATACAGCTTGATTAGCTATATATTTGTTTTGTTGCGTTTTGCTAGAATACTTTAGAGATGACATGGTCATTTTCACACATCACTCAGGAGGTTACATCTGGTTGTCTCACTTTCAGTGATGCTGAAATTAATAAGCAAGTTCAGATGATGCCAACCTTTTCCCTCCACTGAGAAGCTATCCATCAATATCTTACCTAATGAATAAAATGTGCTCAGATAACTGCTGTTTCAAACAGGCATCTTGTTGTGGGTTTGCAAAATGGTTTTCCAATTCTATCATTTTTGTCTGCATTTTTGAGCTAGAATTCTTTTATAAAGAACTTTCTCTTGGCCAGCTCAGGGGCTCACACCTGCAATCCCACATACTTGGAGGTAGAGATCTGGAGGACTGTGGCTTGAAGCCAGCCCTGGCAAAAAAGTTAACATGGCCCCATCTCAACAAACAAGCTGAGCATGGTGATTAACTCCTATAATGCCAGCTATGCAGGAGGCAGAGGTAGGACTGCAGTCTGAGGCCAGCCAAATCAAGAAGTGTAAGGCCCTATCTGGAAAAGTAGCTAAGACACAGAGACCTGGGAATGTGGCTTATGTGGCAGAGTACCTACTTAGCCAGAGGGAGGCCCTGAATTCAAACACTAGTACCACATACAAAAAGAAAGGCAGAGAAAGAGACAGAGAGAGAACTTTCATTTTACTAGGGTTTGTCCTGAAAATAAGGTATGATATTTATTCTTTTCCTTTAATTATCAAGATTTATATTAATATATTATCTTTGCATATTCAATCATGACCAGTAGGTTTATTTCTCTTTCTTTAGGTATCACTACAAGTTATTATTTCTTTAAAATCATCAATTTAAGTTTTAATGAAATATAGCCAGCATTTTTCTTGGAGGAGGGACAGGAATGGGGTTTGAACTCAGGGATCTGCACTTGCAAAGCAGGCACCCTACCACTTGAGCCACACCTCCAGTACATTTTCCTCTCGTTATTTTGGACATGGGATCTCTGAAACTATTTGCATGGACTGGCTTTAAACCATGATCCTCCCAATTTCGACTTCCCAAGAAGCTAGGGTTACAGGTGTGAGCCACCAGCACCTAGCTAACCAACATTTTTGATGCTCAATTTGTCCCATCTTTGGCCTGTGGGAGCTCCTCTTTTCTTGTTCCTGTGTGTTTTTCTTTGGAAACTTTCAAACATAAGTAAAAATATAGAAAACAGAACTGTAAATCCCTATCATCTATCATTCGGCCTCAATAATTCTCAACTCGTGACCATTCCCATTCCATCATATCCTCTCCCTACCACTAGGCTATTCTGAAATAAATCTCCATCACCACATTGCTTCACCTGCAAACATTTCAGCACATATCTCCAAGAAACACAACCTCCACCTCTAAATAAAGCCTCCTCTGTCCTGTCAATGGAACCACATCAGACTTTGATGGATTTCTGCCATAACAGCACCAGACCAAGCATCAGCCATTTCTCTAGAAGACCATGGTTTCCTTTAGGAGAGAAGAACACAAACTGGGTTGTTAAGCTCCACGGTGTTTCCATGGACAGAGTAGAAGATCAGTGTCTTTTAAAGAAAAAAAACAGTCATGCCATCCTATGGATTTCAATTCATATATACCAGAGTTTTTCCCAGACACTGGTGACTCCTATAATCCTAGTTACTGGGGAGGATGAGATCGGACGGATCAAGGCCAGTCCAGGTAAATACTTTGCGAAACCCCCATCTTTAAAATAACCAGAGCAAAATGGACTGGAGGTGTAGCTCAAGCACTACAGTGCCTGCTTTGCAAACATGAATCCCTGAGCCCAAACCTCAGTCTCACCAAAAAAAAAAAAAAAAAATTTTCACATAGTTTTATTTAACTTTTAGTTCCCAGTATCTTCTTTAATTATTCTGAACAATACTGGTGGTTACCATCCATCTATTTTTTTAATTCTATATTATAAGAGAACTGGAACAAACATCTAGGCAAAAAATTGTACACTAATAATCCTATCAGCATTACTCGTAATAGTCAAAAAGTAGAAATAACCTAAAAATGTCCACTAACTGATGAAAGAACAAACAAAATGTATTTTATCCATAAGAAGTACTATTCATAAACAGGAATGAAGTACTAAAACACATTATTACATAAGCCCTTAAAACATTACACTAACTGAAATGAAACACAAAATTCTACATATTGTTGATTCTACTTATATGAAATGAAGGGGAAGAATAACCGCTAATGGGAACAGTTTATTTGGGGGGGTAATGAAAATGTTCTGAACTATGAGGTAAAACTGGTGAAAACACTAAAAAAACCACTGAAGTAGACATTTTAATGGTACCTGGTATATTTGGTGGCATGTGAACTTTATCTCAAAAAGGAGTATTAGTACAGTAAAAAGATTTTTAAACACTGGCTACCATTACTGCTGTAACAAGTCATCCTTCAACTCTAGTCCAAGATTCATGTACTCTACCAGCTGCAGACTGTTTTGTTAGTTTGCAAGTAGGGTAAAGTCTCAGACACTTCACAGTTCTTAACAGGGAATTAAAATGCTATAATCACAAAGTTCACTTTATGTCCCACTTCTTTAAGTACAGATCAGGTCTTTCCTACACCTGTGAGGATAGTCTGAATTCATGAGTTGAAGAAAGCACCATGGGGAAGGTGGCTGCTCTCCATGAAGAAAACAGAGACCAGTGCCTCCCCCTCCACCACAGTGCAGGACATCATGGCTGAGCAAGCCCTAGGTGCTACACTCTGAAATGAGCTCTGCAGGAGCTCCTCTGCTCACTTCTCTCGAAAGTAACAGGCTGTCCCAGTCTACCAAGATGGGGAAGGGGAACCAGCCGTAATACTCTCTTCTACCAGGTGCTAAGACACCCCCCAAAAAGCCCCCTTGATTATGACTGAATTTACTGAGTCAAGAGGAATTACTTAGTTCTCCGTACACCAATGCCATTTTCTTCTCTCTATGTCAAGTAAAACATAATAGGTCCATCTGCTGTGATGATGAGTTATTTCCATTTCTTATCAGTTTTGTGGTTTGGTATAAGGCAAAGAACATGGGAGAATTGGACCTGGATTCAACTCTTGGCTGACCACTCACTTGGTTTTTGTTGTTGGCCCAGAGATTTGACTTCTCAGAGCCTTGGGTGCCTCATCCCCAAAATGGGGATACCACCTACCACCCAGAATCCGAACAGCAGTTTACTAAGGGAAACATTTAGTCTATATCCTGGACTATGCCTGATAGAGAAAGTATAGCAAGTGGTGTAAAGAAATAAAAAGCAACTTGGACAGAGAAGACTGTAACTGTTTAATAACATCTGACACACAGTAGGAGGTTGCCATGCTTTGTTTCTTAAACACTCATGTGTTAGAAGCTTGGTATGCGATACAATGGTATTGAGAAGTGGTGGAACTTTTAAGATGAGGGGCTTAGAGAGAAATAATTAGGTCGGCAGGAATTAATGCCCCTCTCAAAGCAGTTAAGTTAGGGTTGTCATAAAGTAAGGCCACCCCATGCTTTGGGCTCACTACAGTCATGCACGATTCTGCCGCATATCATCCACCAAGTTATGACATAGCTGAGGCCCCTGGACAGATGTAGTCACCCTACCTTGGACTTCTCAGCGTCCAAATTGTGAGTCAAAATGAAAACCTCTTCCTTGTAAAGTACCCAGTCTCTAGTATTTCATTATAGCAACACAAAATGGTCTTAAGACAGGGCTCCACAAAGGTTAGCTTCTCTCATCCTTCTTCCAAGATTGAGCAACTTGAGTGCAAGGACTAGGTTATTTATTTTTGTGCATGCTGAAGCTTGGACACAATATTTTGCATGTAACAGATGTGGAAAAAGGAGCTTAAGGATGCTTCTTCAACAGATTGCACTTTCATTTTCCTTTCATCGTACTTCAAACGCACTTAGTACAGAATTTAAGTACTCATATTGTCCTTTTGGGGTTTTGTTGTTGTTGTTGGACAGGGTCTCCTTATGTAGCCTAGCCTGGCCTCAAACTCACAATCCTCCTACTTCAGCCTCCCAAATGCTGGGATAATAGGTGTGAACCATATACCCAGATTTTCTATTCTATAATTATTTCAGGTTTGTTGGTCTCATCTCTCCAAATAGACAGTAAGATTCTTAAAGTAGAAAATACAACTTATTATGTTGTACTCTCGAAGTCCACTGACACAGCCCAGTGACCAAGCTGGTTCATTTCAAACACTCCATTATAGTGTTTGAGCTGAGATCAGACTGCTCCCTATGTCAAAGATCAACAGTTGAGCCCTAACAAGGCCCCTTCTCAAAAAGAAGCTATCTCACCTCAGGCCCTTTATCCAAAGTGACAAGCAGGCTAAACAACCATGCAGGTGGACTCAGATAAGCAAGGGATATCCATTCAGGGCACAGTTTTTGATTTTGGTGTTGGAACTGGGAAAGTACAAGGCAAACTGTCACCATTGGTCACCCTGGCCACCAACTAGTAGGACTACATGCACCTTCATAACTCAGATGTCTTCAGAAACTGATTAGGTTACTAGCAGGTTAGTGAGGCATACTGGGAAAGGGAAGGAAGTAAGCAACAGTTATCATAGGGTACAAGGAATACCTCAGACACATCCAGTGGAAGATTGCCCACATACACCTCAGTCTCTCTCTTCTTCAGGCCTGAGAAGAAAAACAGAATTGAAAAAGCTGGACCACAGGTACAGCTCAGTGATAGTGCATTTGCCTGGCATGCATGAGGCCTGGGTTTAATTCCCGGCACCAGAGAAAAAGAAAGAGAAAAAGCAGGCATAAGGTTAGAGGATTTAGAGGAGTTGGAACAGGTGATAAGTGACTCATTTCCTCCAATGTTAAAATAAAATTCACACAGCCCCAGAAATCCCTCTTCTTAGTCCATACCAAAGGAAACAGAAACACCACCTCCTAGAGATAATTGCACTCCCATGTTTAAGGCAGTACTATTCACAATAGCCAAGGTAGGGGAAAAAACCAGGTGTCCATTAATGAATGAATGGATAAACACTCTCCTTCCTTCCTCCCTCTTTCCGTCTCCTTCTCTCTCTCACGCACACACACATACATACACAGATATTATTCTGCCTTAAGAAAAGGAGGTGAGAGAGGGCTAGTGGAGTAGCTCAAGTGGTAGAGTACCTGCCTAGTAAGCGTGAGGTCCTGAATTCAAACCCCAGTACGGTCAAAAAAAAAAAGATTCAAGAAAAATGGGTGATCATACCATTTGCCACAACATGGATGGACCTGGAGAACATTATGCTAAGTGAAATAAACCAGGCATAGAAAGAAAACTATTTCATGATCTCGCTTACATGGGAGATCAAAGGTCAAAGATATAGAGAACAAAACAGTGGCGACCAGGGTCAGGGTTTAGGGGAAGGAGGTCACAAGATACAAAGTAGTGGGGCTGGTGGAGGAGCTCAAGTAGTAGAGTACCTGCCTAATAAGCATGAAGCCCTGAGTTCAAACCCCAGTACTGGAAAAAAAAAAAAAAAAACCCAACCATAAGGCTACTAAAGCAAAAAGGGCTGCGGACACAGCTTAAGTAGTACAGTGCCTGCCTAGCAAGTACCCTGAGTTCAAACCCCAGTGACAGTCACACACACACACAAAAAATATGCAAAGTAGCAAATGAGCAGAATGAACAAGTGGGAAGATGTATAGTACAACGTGGAGACTATAGTTCACAATAACATACTGACTTCAGAATTTTGGCTAAATGCCTCGGGGGTAGAAAATGGGTAACTGTGAAATGACACATACGTTAATGTGTTCCACTGCTGTTCACTATTTTACTACATATATCTTATAACGTTATATACCTTAAATATACACAATAAAATTTATCTTAAAAAAACATTTAAAGAAAAAAAGCATTTGCACACACGTAACCCCCACCTCTTCCCCTTAGAAACACTGAGTGGTGACACCTTGCTCAATCCCTCAGCAAATGCTCATCCATGTTCAGAGTAGTCCAGGCACAAGTGCTGGCCATGCATATTGCTGCCTCAAGGAAGGAGATCATGTTGCGGGGATAGAGTGACTTGGGGAATCCAGGCTATCAGTGAGGTACTAGAAAGTGCTTCAGGACCACTGGAATTGTACCTCCCTCAGTTACATCAAGCTGAGAGAGAGGGGGAAGGCTAAAGGGAATCCAGGCAGAGGGAAGAGCACATACAAGCGTATGGAAAGCCAAATAAACTAGGCCCACTGGGGAAACTGCATGGAGTCAGGAATGGCCGGATCACATGCTTTCTGGGGGTGGGTAAGTGATGAGATATGACCCTAGAGAGGCAGGCCAGGCCCAGTCATGACACTGAGGAAAGCTGTGCCATAGTGGAGATAGCTCATCCCACTGGCTGGGAGATGTGGGAGAAGGACTTAACCACAGAGGTGACATCAATTCTTCTGGGTGTTAGAAAGACCACTGTGGAGATGGTCAAGGGCAAGTAAGAACAAAACTGTGTGCAGCATGAACAGCCAGTACACTCCATAGTGAGGCCTGCACCACAGCGGTGGCAAGGGAGGTACCACATGTAAAAGGAAGCGCAGGACTGACTGCAGGAAGGGCACAGTCCAGGCAGACTCCAAGTCTCACTCTTAAAACAGGTGCACTGGGCACAGTAACGGATCCAGATTACAGAGTACAGATCCCAGTACCAACACCCCAGGCTTACTCACCAGGGAATTTCTGCTCTTCCAACACTCTATTCCTCCCAAACAGTTTAGTAGAAGGTAGGAAGGCCTGGCTGCTCCAGGACCTGTCAAACACAGGTGTTAGCACTGCAGCCCCCAAACCCAGACTCAGACAGAAGGGAGTACAGGCTGGGCATGAAAGAAAGTCTCTTCCTGACCAAGGACTTCCATTCCTCCTCCCAGAGTCAGCTTCCCAGCCAGGAAGCTCTCCCTGGGCCTTTTAATCATCCACAGCACATTTAAGGTTAGAGTCCTAAATGTGAGATGCTGAAGGATTCTTTAGCTCTGGACATTGTGAGACAGGAAGAAAAAGAGAAGGCTGGGATGGAGGGAGGGTTTCTTATCAGCAAAGGGAAGGGACTTACATGCTGCAGTTGCTGTCTTAACAAAACCTCCTGCAAAGCCAAGCAGTCACAGTTAGAAGTATGCCAGAGTATCACCATCACATAGCCACTCAATAGGTACTATGGTAGGCAGGATAACAGCCCCCAACCCCCGCCATGCAAGTGGTCCACACCCTAATCCCCAAGATCTATGGATATATTAGGTTTTAAACCAAGGAGAATAAAGACTAACAATCAGCTGACCTTAAAACAAATTCTCTGGATGGACCAATGTAATCACAGGGGTCTTGGAAAGTAGAAGAGAGGGTCAGAGAAAGATTCGAAGACAGAAGCAAGATTAAAGTGGAAGATGTAAAACGACTAGGACTCCACTACTGGTGCTGGCTTTGAAGACAGAGGAGTGGCCAACAGCCAAGGAATGTGGCTGGAAAAGGCAAAGAATGGGATTCAACCAAGAACCTCCAGAAGGAATACAGTCTTACATCTTAATTTTAGCCCAGTGATACATACATCAGATTTCTGACCTACAGAACTGTAAGATAATATGTGTATTGTTTAAGCCACAATTTTGTGGTAACTTGTAACAGCAGCAAACAGAAAACTAACACAGGTCCCAGAAGCAACTTCAAACCCTCACACACTTCTGCACAGTGGCTGGCCTGTGAGAAAAGGGTCTGGGGAGCTAAGACAGATGCAGCTGTGTCCAGTGCAAGTGTTGTCTATAAGATGGGAATCAAAACACCTATATCACAGATTACAAGGGTGAAGTGAAATGTGGCACTTAGAGCATTTGTCATACATTAAGACCTTAATCAATGGTAGCCATTGTGCTTATTGTTATGGCTTTCACTGGCACCTTCCTACGACTGTACTGTGGAGTATTATCTTTTTGTTTGTTTTTGTGGTACTGGGGATCAAACCCAGGGTTAAGCACATGCTCTGCCAGAGTCACACCCCCAGCCTATCCTCCTATCATACAAATGGGAAAACCAAAGTTCAAGGACATCAGATGATTTGCTAAAAATTATAAAAGCAACTCAGGCCCATGACTCCAAAATCTTCATTCTATTCCTACAGATAAGACGGCTGTCAAAGTAGCACATATATATTAAAACATTAAATATTAAAACAAACAGCTTTCTCTAAATTGTTCCCAGCTGTGGGAGAAAACAACTCTTTTAACTGAAAATAAATCTAAATAAAACTAAAAGTGGTTAAGATAATTAAAAGGCTTAGAGATGGATGAATAAAACCCTAGAGGTTTATGGGCTGTAGAATGCTAGTTCCAATTCCTAGTAACTTCTTTTTTTTTTTTTTTTTTGGATTACATTTCCCTTTATTTATTTATTTTTATTATTCATATGTGCATACAAGGCTTGGGTCATTTCTCCCCCCTGCCCCCACCCCCTCCCTTACCACCCACTCCGCCCCCTCCCTCTCCCACCCACCCCCTCAATACCCAGTAGAAACTATTTTGCTCTTATTTCTAATTTTGTTGTAGAGAGAGCATAAGCCATAATAGGAAGGAACAAGGATTTTTGCTGGTTGAGATAAGGATAGCTATACAGGGAGTTGACTCACATTAATTTCCTGTGCGTGTGTGTTACCTTCTAGGTTAATTCTTTTTGATCTCACCTTTTCTCTAGTTCCTGGTCCCCTTTTCCTATTGGCCTCAGTTGCTTTTAAGGTATCTGCTTTAGTTTCTCTGCGTTAAGGGCAACAAATGCTAGCTAATTTTTTAGGTGTCTTACCTATCCTCACCACTCCCTTGTGTGCTCTCGCACTTTTTTTCTAAAAGTATACATGGACTCCCAGAAGAGGGCAGGCACCAAGACCTCCCAGTAAAGGTCCAGTCAAAACCTTTCAAAGATGCATTTCCTGGCCTGCAGATGTTACAGTACACATTCTTACTCCCCAGTGAAACTCTAAGAAAGTGGCATTATTACGCCTTTTACACCTTAAGTTCTGGAGGCTCAGAGACGAATCTGTGCTACAAATGGAGAAGCCTGTCTTTTTCAGTCCCAACTGTATGACTCCAAAGTCCTCAACTTCCTTTGAATCTACTGTTTGGTCTGGAGAAGTATTTTATTTGTGCTTTTTAAAAGATGTAAAGAAGAAAAACTCATTCAAAAGTGGGCAAAGGATTTGATGGACATTTCTGCAAAAAATACCATATACAAGTGGCCAATAAGCACAGACAAGATGTTTCACATCTTTAGCCATAAGGGAATGCAAAAAATCTCACACCTGTAATCCTAGCTACTTGGGAGGCTGAGATCAGGAGGATCACAGTTGGAGGCCAGCCTGGGCAAATAGTTCCAGAGACACCCCCCCATCTCCAAAATAACTAGAGCAGGGCTGGTGGAGTGGCTCAAGCAATAGAGCGCCTGCCTAGCAAGCGTGAGGCCCTGAGTTCAAACCCCAGTGCTATCAAAAAAAATTACTAAAGCAAAATGGACTGGAGGTGTGGCTCAAACAGTAAAACGCCTGCTTGTCAAGTCTGAAACCTTGAAATCAAAAACCCCAGTGCCACCAAAAACAAACAAAACAATGTTCCCATTTCATACCCTCTAGAATGGCTATATAAGTTCCCCCCCCTCAAAAAAAAAGACTAAAGCAAGTGTCCAGGATGTAAAGAATTAGGAACTCTCATGTTATTGGTTGTATAAAATGGTGCAACCACTTTGGAAAGAGTTTTTAAAAAGTTAAACAGTGAAGTACCCTGTGATCCAGCGGTTCCACTCCACCCAAGGATATATTCACAAATATTCTTAACAGCATTGTTTATAATAGCCAAAAGTGAAAATAATCCAAATGTGCATCATCAATGAACAAATAAAATGTGGTATACCCATACATTGGAATATTACTGGGAAATCCAAAAGGAATGACGTGCCAATGCATGCTACAAAGTGGATCAATCTCAAAAAGCATGCTAGGGAAAGAAGACAGAAACGAAAGACCAAATACTGCTATGATTCCAGTTACATGAAACTTCCAGAACAGACAAATGGGTAGAAACAGTAATTAACTCTGCTTAGGGTTAGCCTGAGGGAGAGGGGAATGTGGGTTGACTGCTAACGGACACTTTCTTAAATTTTATTATTTATTTTTATTTTATTTCATCGTTTTTACATTTACTCACTTGTATACATTGTTTGGGCCACCTCCCCCCTCCAAATGGACACTCGTGGGGTGGACATGTTTTAAAATTAGATTGTTGCAATTGTAAACATACTAAGTATATTAAAAACTCACTAGGCTCACAATTAAAATTTATGGTGTGTAAATGATAGCTCAACAGTGTTTTTTTATTTTATAAAGGCAACACTCATTTTCAAGTATGGTCAGTGTGGGCGGCATTACTTCCGCCTTTGAGCCTCACCACCCACCACCCACACGGTGAAGTCAAAGGTGGCGGGGACCCCGTTTGCACGGCTTGCATGAGGATTTAGAACGTGTTGCATAAGCCCCTGCAACACACTTAGTTTTTTAAAGGAAAGACTTGTTACATAAATTAAGTTTAAGCCTAGTTTTTTAAAGTAAAAGCACACTGTGTATGGGGTGGGGTGCTAACAATGGCGTCTCCTGACGCCAAGAGCCGCAGGGTGCCGCACAAAATGCTCCCCAACTGCACAGACTCCCGCTCCTTCCCACCTGGCTCAGCAAGCCACAAGCCCCCGGGCTAACAGCGCGCCCTCCCACCCCAGAGTAGGAATGAGGGAAACTCCCACAATTCCTCCCAACCGCGGACCACCGTGCTCGAAGACCCAGCAAAAAGTAACTCGTCTCCCAACACAGTGCGTCCACTCCGACCGCTGCACCACGCCTTCACGCCTTCTTCCTCCGCGCTCCGCCCCTGAGAGCCTGCGGGGCGGGGTGGAGCGTCTTCAGCCAATCCGCGGCCGGCCCCGTGACGCGGAGGCGGTGCTCCTCGGGAGAGTGACGGAGCGAGCGCGGGAACTAGCGAGCGCGGCCCTGCGCCTGATTCTACTTTAGTAGACAACCCACCACCAACAAAAACATGCCGTGCGTTTAGAAAGAGGCCAGTGGAGTGAGTGGACGAGGCGCGCTTGGCCCGGTGGGAAGCCGAGGTCGGCTTCCTCTGTAGCTTTGGCGGCGCACGTGGTACATTCCCCGGCGACTTGAAGACGACACCCGGCCGAGATTCGGTCTGCGCTCATGATGAGCTGCCCGCAGCCTTGGAGAGCCCTATGCTGTCCGGGGCGCGCCCCGTCAGCACGTGTCGCCGCTACCACCTTCTTCCCAGCACACACACCCTCTGCCGTCTCTCGGGAGGCGCTCACGCGGTGGCCCCCGACTTTGGGCTGGAGGTGGCAGGGCTGGGAGGCGCCAGCCGCAGAGGGGAGGGGCGCGAACGGGGTGGGCGGCCCGCCGTCCGTCCACCATCCGTTGCGGCGCCGGGGACACTGCCGCCGCCTCAGTTGCGTCCCCTCTTGTCCCTGGGAGCGTGGGCAGGGCTGCCGGGGGCTTCCGTGGGCTCGGCCTCTCCCACCTCGGGAGGAAAAAGCAGGGGGAAGCCCCCGGCGTCCGCTGCCTCCTTAGAGCCGCGGAATCCCGAGCGGTGCAGACGCTGAAGACGCGGCCGGGCGGGGCCCCCGTGCGTCTAGCCTGTCGCCGTCCGTGTCCGGAGCGGCGGCCGGCGTCCCCAGTTCGGCGCCCCGGGTTCCCAGTCCCGGGCTGTAGAGACTCCACCCTGCCGGGCGTGGGCGACGGCTGGCCAGGGGCGCACAGAGCAGCCGGCCAGGGGCCTCGCCGCGGCCTCCAGCGCCCTAGCCCCGGGGAATGCAGCGGCCCCCGACCCGTGGCGCCTCTCGGTGTCTGGGCTGGGCCTCCTCGCTTGCTTGCTCAGTGGCCGCGACGCTCCTGGGCCGCACCGGCCCGGCCCGCCTCATGGCAGCCAAGTGGTTCAAGGAGTTCCCCCTGAACCTGAAGACTGTGTCGGAGCGGGCCAAGCCCGGGGGCGGGGGCAGCGGCAAACTGCGCAAGAACTCGGAGGCGGGGGCCGCCGGGCCCACCCCAGGAAAGGGCCGCAAGAACTCGGCGGCCGAGCTGGGCAGTGGCAAGGTCGCTGGCGCCCCCCCTAAGGACAGCCGCCTGTCCCGCGACAGCCTGCAGGGTCTGATTCAGGCCGCGGCGGGCAAGGGTCGCAAGAACTCCCGGGCCACCGAGGAGGAGCCCCACCGGGGCACGGCCAAGAGCTCGGGCTGCAGCACCTACATCAACAGGCTCATCAAGGTGGACACTCAGGAGAAGAATGGGAAGAGCATCTACCCTGGCAGCAGCAGTAGCAGCAGTAGCAGTAGCAGCAGCAGCTCCTCTTCCTCTGAATCCTCTTCCCCTTCCTCCCTGGGTCCTGAGCTGGACAAGGGCAAAATTCTAAAGCAGCAAGATGCGGTAAGAACACAGCCTCCAAGTGGATCCCCTCTCAGTGCAAGGGGAGCATGGGGTGCCTGCCAAACTCTAGGCTTCTTTATAGCCAAGAGGAGACCAAGACATGTTTCCTAGGGTCCTCCCCCACCACTATTATGTGACTCCCAAGTCACCCTTGAAAATCATTACTTGTCTTGAAAAGTCCTTCTTCATTAGAGAGCTTTTCAGGAATGTACTCTTAAATGTGTAGTTTTGTTAGCAGTTTAGAAGAGCCAGGCTTGTGTCTGACTTTTATTATTCTTAAGCATAGGAAATTCTGTGCGGACTTTTCAGCTTCAGAAATGGTTTGGCTGGCTTGGAGGTTCCAGCCTTCCCTGCAGTTCATCCAATAAGGGCCTCTTGGTTTCAGCAGCCCTCCAAGATGACTGTCCTCCCATTCATTCCATGGATGTTGCTGTGCAGTAGCCATATCTATAGGATAAGGCCATGGGGTGGGTACAGATTATGACAAGGAAATGCCCTAGATCAGGAGAGAAGGTGCTTCCTGCTTCTTAGTCACTGCAGGTTTTCTGGGTGCTGTCCAATGTGGGAAAGTAAGAAAAGGAATGTGGACGTGTGAGGGAGCTCTCCATTCTTACAAGGATGAGTTAGCTTGATTCGATTTTTTTTTCTCTCTCTCTCCTGTGTAAAAGGGAGAGAGGGAAGAAGAGCTCACACAGAGATTTCAGACTTCAGTTCATTTCCTGTCACAGGGACTTCAATTTTTTCTTGCCAGCCTTCAGACACGTTGCCTACTTAGATGGAGTCAGGAGTCTGTGGCACATACCATGTCACAGGTATTGGGCACCTCTGTTCATTTCTCCATTCCTGTTTCCACAAATATTTACAGTTTGCCTATCCTGTGCCAGGCACCGAGCAGAGAGTCATGGAAAGACATACGTGGATCCAGCTCATGGATTACTTGGTGGTATACCTGACTATTGTACCAGATCACCAGTATCTTAAAACCAAGGACTTACAATCATGTCCTGTGTTTCTTGCTGTGCCTTGCAACTGCAGTACGCCTGGTGGCTAGACAAGGAGAACCAACGGAATGAGTTGGTGGTAATCACAGTCCTCCACAGTGGTTGCCTGGTTGTTTTCATGGATGTCACTCTGGATGTCTGAGGTTTCTTAGGCCGTTTCCTTGAGGGTGAAGGACTCTCATCCAGTCTGTTCCTCCCTCTTCTTCCTCACTTGTCTGAATTCTTCCTCCCAGCTCCGGCGGTATTTCTCCAAGAACTTTTTTGGAGGTTCTATTGGTGATTGTGGAACAGGACTTTGAACTTCCTCCCTGTGAAAGGTTCCCTATCCGTGTGGTATCGCTCAGTATCTGCAGAACAGAACTATTGCACACTCAGCACTTTTTCAGGCACCTTCTGTTTTGGGAAAGAGCTGCTCTCAGACACAAATACCATTAAAACTATCTTGATTGGTAGCCTGGGAGAATCAGTTTGCCTGTGAATTCCTAAACCTGAAATTCCTACAGTGCTGTTCAGTGCTAACCTCTTTCTCCTTTATGAAGACTGTCTCTTTGGAACTGTTATCATTTCCTTGAGGACAGGAAGCAAATCATTTTGACTGACTCACTGTGACTATATTGCTCAGCTGATTGGAGTTTAAAAGACCCAGAGCACCTGGCTATGGACTGGTAGACCAGTTCATCTTTTTAAGCACCAAAACCATAGACACTTTCCACTCCCCACCGTCCACCCCTGCCAACCTCTAACCCACATATGCTTTGTTGCTTGGAGGGAGAAAGGAAGGTGAAAAGACCCTTGGGGATAAGTAAATAAGTTTAGATAAATTGATACAAGCCAATTATACTACTTTTTAAAAAAAAGGTTGTTAACTGAGATTCATGATCAAGTGTACAAGCTGTCTGAAACTGATCAGAGGTTTTGACTCTGAATCTGCAGATTTTAGTAGCCATTTTGATACCACTGCCATTTTGGTTTTTGACAATCCTTAGCAACTGTCCTTTTTTTGTGTGTGTGTGGTACTGGGGTTTGAACTCGGAGCCTACACCTTAAGCCACTTTACCAGCCCTTTTATTGTAATGGGTTTTTTTTGAGATAGGGTCTCAAGAACTGTTTGCCCCCACTGAACTCCAACCACGAGCGTCCTGATCTTTGCCTCCTGAATAGCTTAGGATTACAGGCATGATCACTGGCACCTAGCTGTTGTCCTCTCTTGTTCTTTGACAGGTCATAATTTTAGAAGACTATGCTGACCCTTATGATGCCAAACGGACAAAGGGCCAAAGGGATGCAGAGAGAGTAGGTGAGAATGATGGCTACATGGAACCCTATGACGCCCAGCAAATGATAACAGGTTTGTAGCTGGGTTCTGGTTAATTGGGACAAATCTCACTCTCATTATGCAGTATCATAAAATCGCAACCAGAATACAATTGGGAAAGGGAAATAAAGCAATTTAACCAGATCCTGCTGACTGGAAGGAGCAGAAATTAGACCCAAAACTAAGGTTGAACTACTTTAATTCACTTTTTGGTTTAGTGTTCTCTATCGTTTTAAAGTTGCAGTGTTTTGGGGTTTATTTCTCTGATCCTGTGCAAGATAACATTTGTGAGTTTGCCAATCTGCTTAAAATGCTATCTTCAGTTTTAAGATTGTTTCTATATATTTCTGCCATATTCTGAAGTTTTAACATCCATGTTGGGATTCATGAATCAGTACCAAGAGACAAAGACATAGTTAAGGGATTTCAATTTGTAAAAAGTCACAAATGTGACATCATCCTTTATATTGTAGATTTTCTCAGTTCTATAACGTTGGAGCAAAGTGTTTAATTACTAAGGAATAATTAATATTCACTGCTGAAAGTCACCCATTCAAGACAAACCCACCTAAAACTAAACTCTAATCTCAAGTCAGAGTGTCTCCAGTTTGTGAACTACATAATCCTATGTCACTTTTTATGTCAAATTTTTCCCTTTGGTTCATAGTTCTCTTAAATTGGTATAAATGATACTTAATCAAAAGATTAGTTATTTAGATTTATTTGGGAATTGTTGCTTTGGCTTGGTTTGGTTTTGTTTGTTTGTTTGTTTGTTTTGCTTTTAAGATAATCTCACTATGTAGCCCAGTCTGGCCTCAAACTTTTGATCCTCCTGCCTCAGCCTCCCAAGTGCTGGAATTACAGATGTGCATCACTATGCCTGGGTTTTTAGGAGAATTTTTAAATAAATTGTTTTTCACCTAATTTTCCTTAAACATCCTTCAGTCCATAATGAAAACTGTAGCTTTTGGGTGCCTACTCACCTTGCTCTAGTGTCATGGTTTTTATGCCTAAGAAAGGAGTAATTGTCCTATGCTAAAGACTTTGTTGTGTTTTAAACAGATTGAAAAGCTGTCAAGCTCAGGCTCTCTCAACTAATACCGGAAGAGGTGAGCAGAGGGGTAGCGGCAGCACCCTGGAAGGGCCAAGACAGGTCTCAGAATGAACAGGAGCTGCAACAGGAAAACTCAGCTCTGTTTCCTGCTTCTCTGCTTACAGAGATAAGGCATTGCTCTGGCGAGGGCGCACCCTGGCCAGGCTGTGACCCCACAGGTCACTGGACTGTGACCCCTAATGAAATCTGTGAATGAAAGGAAGTGAAAACGATCTTCGTCAGAGTTTTAAAAAATATCCCAGGCTTAAAAGGAATAGGGGAAAGGATTTACTTTTATATACAATTGAGGAAAAGGATTCCCTTCTTGTGGTGCTGAGGATTGAACCAGGGCCTTGCACATGCTAGGCAAGCACTATACCACTGAGCTACATCAACAGTACTAAGGAATTCTTTAAAAGAAAAAAAAAAGTTTAACTTTCATTTACCTTTCTTTGTTCTTTGGTTTTTAATCTTTCTCTTTAACTAGAATAGGTGGTTTATCTATACCATACCAGCTGTTTATTTGGGGAACTATACTAATAATACAGAAAATATTGTGGGGTTTTTTTTTTTAAATGAGTAAATACAACTTTTTTCTTTAAGCAGTCCCCACAAGAGCTCTGTAAACTAGAGGAATGCAGAACTGTCTCCCTTGTTACAGGGCAAAAAAAAAGCAGGATCAGAAGGATTCAGACTTGTCTATGCTCAAAAGACTTTAAGAGACAGAATAGGAATTAGAACTTAGATCTAAATTGAGTGTTCTGCTCCTGTTGCTACCTGGCCCTCAAGACACACTTGAAATAAGGCATTTGTTTTTTGTTTTTTTGCAGTACTAGGGCTTGAACTCAGGGCCTACACCTTGAGCCACTCCACCAGGCCTTTTTTTGTGTGTAATGGGTTTTTTTGAGATAAAGTCTCAAGAACTATTTGTCCAGGCTGGCTTTGAACCGAGATCCTCCTGATCTCTGCCTCCTGAGCAGTTAGGGTTACAGACATGACCCACCAGCATCTGGCTGCATGCAGAAACATTGTAAACTTGACCTATAACTAGGGCTTCGCTCTACTCAGACTCACCAAGAATGTTACATTCAAAAGTCCAAATTGGACTGGCATCATGTCACATGCCTATAATCCCAGCACTTGGGTGGCTGAGCAGGAGAATCAAGAGTCCGTGAGCAGCCTGAGCTACATTGTAAGACCCTCCCTCCAAAGAAAAAAGTCAAAATAGGCCAGCATGAAATAAGTATTATAATAGCTAACATTTAATATTTGAGTACTTATTAAGTTCCCAGCTCTGTTTAAATCCTTATACAAATAAATTCATTTAGGAATATAAAGTTAATGTATTTAATTGGTAAATAAATTCAAATTTATTAAAAGTCTAAATTACTGACTTTTTAAACTAGTAATCTAAGCATATTGTACTTTGCTCTTAAAAATTGTATCAGTAGGCCTTAAGGTTTCCTCATTTAAAATATATATCACAAAGTACCTTCTCAATTAATGTAGAAAATGTACCTTTGTCTGCTCATAGATTACACAGCTGGACAGAATAACAGGAAGTGAGTTTATCGGAAGTTGGAAATAAAAGGTTTGCTACTGCTTTTTTTTTTTTAACCTTTTACTCAGTTTGCTCCTTGTATACTTGCTTGTCAAGTAAAAGCTCAAAAAATGCCCATATTTATTTTTGCAGGAAGATTTCAGGTATATATGTGTACACACATGTGTGAGTTACTGGGCATTGAATCCAGGGCTTCACAAATGCTAGGCAAGTGCTCTCCTACTGAGCTATACCCCAGGCCCAGAAATTACCCATATTTCATAAGAAAGCATTAGGTGTTTTTAGTTTGGACATTTCTGTATGCTATGAAGAGGGTGCTAATGAAATGATTTAACCATGCAGCAGTTAAACCTATATTGCCAACCTCTGTGCTGTCTTTTTCCTACATGAAAAAACGGGGATAATGTGCCCATGCCTGGATTTCTGGTGGCGCTGGAGTTTGAACTTGGGGCCTTGTGCTTTGCTAGGCAAGGCACTGTACTACTTAAGCCATTTGCCCAGCCCACATGCCTGGCTTTAACAATGTCTTGGTCATGTTGAACATACAGGATAAAATTACTCTAATGTCCAACAAGTATTTCTTAGGCATTTACTACTTACCATGACTGAGCCTTGTATTAGCACTGAGTTAGAGGAAACATGATCTTTGCTCTTGGATTTCAGAACCTAAGGGGGAAACAGACCAGTACCAGGCACTGGTGACTTACATCTATAATCCTAGCTACTCAAGAGTCTAGGAGGATTATAGATCCAAGCTAGCCCAGCCCTGGGCAAATAGTTCTCGAGGCCCTATCTTTAAAAAAAAAAAATCTATATCTATATCTATATCTCACAAAAAAAGGGCTGGTAGAGTGGCTCAAGTGGTAGGGTGCCTGCCTAGCAAACGTGGGGCCCTGAGTTCAAGCCTCATTTCCACCAAAAAAAAAAAAAAAGTCATTGAAAAGTATGATAAGTCATTGAAAAGTATAAAGTAGAGAATCAGAGTCACTGTCAGGGAATAAAGGAAGAAACAGAAGCTAAGAGAAGCTCCTAGTTTTCCTGTGGCCAAATAATTGTGGGACCCAAGCTCCCTGAATCCCCCCAAAATTTGCTTTTAGCTTTTAGAATTTAATAATTTATAAATAAATTCTAAGATTTATCCAAAGGATTGTTCATAAAAAGATGTGACTATGAATGCAAAGCAATATTAGCATAAACCTGTTGTTTTTCTGTTAAGTTAGTAGGAACATTTTAGTTCAGTATAATTCACAGAAATATTCTGTATAATTTAACGATATGAGTTTTAGCTACCAAATTGAAACTTTAGCATGGGATGTATCTTAGAAGCTCTCTAAGACAAACCAGGCATGTTAGGGCATGCTTGTAATCCCAGCACTCAGGAGGCTGAGGCAGGAGGATTGCAAGAAAGAGGCCTGTCTGTCTACTTAGTGAAACCCTGTCTCAAAAAAAAAACAGAAGGAAGGAAGGAAAGAAAGAAAAAGGTTTTCTCTAAGAGGGCCATCAGTTAGCATGAGAATTCTTCCACACTTGGTATGATACAGCTACAAGTCCAAGTCAAGGACTTACAAGGTACCAAACTTGCCAAATTGCCTTCCCAAATCCTGCTACAGCCCTGTAAAGCTAGTGTCTGTTACACAGTGGAAGAAATCTAGGTTCAGAAAGATGAAATAATTTGTCCACATTCCACAAGCAAAAGGGAAGATGCCAGGTTATTTGGCAAACTTTGGTTTTGACTATTGGAACTCTGGTCAAAGATAGTTCTTAAATTCTTATTTTTGCCTCCAGTGGTTGTATTGGTTTGTTAAAATAGATCTGAAGAAGAATCTCAATGTTGGAATCTGCATTTATTATAGGAAAAAATATCCATGAAGCCTCCTTCTTCCCTTTTCTCCCTCCCCCCAAGCTGAGGCTAAAGCCTGGGAAGTGCTTTGCCCCTAAGCTGCACCCCCAGCCTGGTCTTTGTAACTTATTTGCCTTGACTTTCCTTGTTAAATTTCAGTTTTCTAAATTATACCTGCTTTTGTTCAGATACTTCAATTTGATTAAAAAAAATTAAAGTAATTTTCTATCAGAAGCTTAAGCACTGATAAAAGATGTGAGTAAAAAATTTTCCTAACAGTCATTTTTCTGATTCCAAGGAGAAAATAGAACCCCATGAGGTTCTATGTTTAATGTTTTAGAAACGTGAAAGGGATTAGATGAAAAGGTATGTAATTTAGAAATGTAATTAACATTTTTCCTAAAGATGCATAAAGTAAGATATGGGAGAGAAAGCATGGGCTCTAGAGTCTAAATAGTAATTGATTAATAAGTAATAAATCATTCACCTGTGAAAATGGGGTAACACCTCTGTTAGTATGTTCTGAGGCTTTCATGAGATACTGGGTGGAACACATCTAGAACAAGCGTACCAACAAATATTCTCTAGACACTTCAGAGAGAATCCCATTTTCAAAGAAAATCTGGACAGTATAGAGTGATATTAATTGCTAAAGACTATTAATTTAGTGAAAGAAAGTTGCAGTCTTCTGCCATGTTTTTAAATTTGAATGCGATAATTATGTGTATTGAGAACTGGGGATTGAGAAGGGAAATTTTCCATCCCCTGTTGGGTTTCACAGCAACCAGTTGCCATTTTAATTGGTGCGGAGCAGCCTGGCTTTCTGCCGGTCTGCAAATGAGTGTTTATCTGCTGCCCGGCCACTGCACTCTGTTGTCTGCCACAGTAAATGGCCTCTATCGGCAGCCAGGGTGTAGCTTCCTCTCGCCATTTCCTCCTTCTCAGGCTCGTTTCCTCTCGGAGCCAGCTCTGCACGTCAGGGGCTATTCTCCCTGCAGGAAGGGTCGGCTTGCAAGCCCATGATTGTTTCTGTTTCTATGGCGCCTCAGGTTAGGGGCAGCCAGGTGTTGGAATGGACGGGAAGGTTAACTCCCCTTGAAGATGTGAGGTGTCCAACCTCTTTTTCCCCTAATTAAACATTGTTTCAAAAGATGATAATGTTTTGCAGATTTAGTCCAATTCCAGGACCATGCAAGGAAAGAACATTCTCAGCCTCATGCTTTGCAGAGTATCTCCCAGACTTCCAAGTGCACACAGACCATCTGAAACAAGGAATATGAGGACTCATGACAAATGGAAAAATTCAAGCCCATTTGTAATAAGAACTCAAGATTCTAATCACTGTACCTCATTCGAATGCAAATTTATTGAAATTTCCTTGTGAGCAGGACTCTATCTTCAACCTTCTCCTATTGGCTTCTCCTTTTAGTTCAACTGGGGCAGAATTGAAGCCAGGGTCTTGGGGAAGACTTTCCCCAATCTGTGCCAGATGGTCTATACTGAGGCCTAAACAAGTTCTGATTAGAAACCTAAAAATTCTAAATTCGTCTCTTGAATTCTTTTGTGTATTCGTCTTCCTTTTTCTTGAGTCTTTAGAAAAGTTCTTTTTTTTTTTTTTAAAGAAAATGCAACCTTATCTCAATTGAACCAAGAACAGAATATCTCTGTTTCTTGTTTTCCATAGTTCCATCTAGAATAAGTAATGAAGAAAAAACCCATAGGAGTCAAAGTCAAGAGGCAGGGACAGGATATGCAGCTCTGGGCTCCAACAACCTGGGCCCCTAACCTGGCCTGGGGCAGGGTGGCAGTCCTTCCAGCTCATTCACAGCATCATATTCTGATGTGGAGGTTTTAGAGACCAGTATTTCCCTTCTCCTGGAAAGGGTGCCAGACAAGAGAGATTAGCCACAGAGAGCAGGAAAAAGTGAGGTGAGGAGATGGAGACCCAGAAGTGTGAAAATGGGTCTCAGACTTGGCTGCTAAGATCACTTGGGGATTTTTACCATCTGATCCCCAGGCTAGATTCCAGACCCATAAAAACAGGACCTCTGAAGGTGAGACCCACCAGGCAGCAGCGTATGTTACAGCTCACCCATTCCAAAGAGCACGGAGTTGGAGGAGGCTGCTAGGGAGCCTAATCCAGCAGAACTATGACCTTGCCCTAGAAGTAACATTTTCCCTTTTGAATTTAGCATCCTGATTTGAATACCTCTCCCCTTATCTGTTGTCCTTTCTTTGTTGTAGAAGTCATGTTGAATCAGTGATTCTTCCCCAGAGAGCTCATCAAGCCTGATTTTAAGTTACAAGGAGAAAATCCTTCCATCCTTTCTTCCTGTGGCACTACAATTTTTTGCCTCTCTTCCTGCTTTCCCCACCACTCCTTCTCAGTCTCTCTTGCTAGCACTGCTTCTTCCAGCCACCCTTAACTGGAATCCTAGGTTCAGCATCTGATCCTTCCTTTTCAGTCCCCTCTCCTTTTCTCCAGCAATTGGTTTCATTCTCTCAGTATTAACAACCATCCATTGTGAGAAATTCCTTAACATGTATGTGCAGATCCACATTCTCACCTGCCTGGAGAAGCTCTAGAATCCGTCCAGTCATTACTTAGCAACATATACAAGCCTGGTGGTCCCTGGCCTGGCCTTCTCCAGCAAATTGGAAACAAAGATATATCAACAAATAAGTCTACACAATGGGAGAGATACAGGTGAGAGTGGGTAGACACAGCCATGGCACCTGATCAACTCTGTGGGCCATTGAAGGGAAAGGTAAGCAGGTTTCTCCATAGAGGGGATGCTGAGTTAGATTTCAGAGGACTATAAGGTCATCAGACACTGCTAGACATAAGACAGTATAGTGTGCAGGGAACTCCAGAAATTCTATTTGGTTAGAGCAAAGAATCGGATTATGGGAGGACAGGGCAGGGTGATTGAGAAAAGAAATTGGAGAGGAAGAAGTGATCGGTCAGGGAAGGCCTCCCATGCTTTACTGAAACACTTGCACTTTGGAAGCTGAGAGCTTTGAGGTATTAAGTGATGAGAGAGGCTCTTGTTTTGAGAGGTCCCCCCGACCTCCACCAAGCAGAGAATGGATTGAAGGCTTCCTGATGGGCATGTAGAAGAGCCAGGACATAATGCTTCTGTCAGTCTGTATTGCACACTGGAGTCCCAACTTGACCTGGCAAGGCCTCTGGACCCCAGGCTGGTCAGTGCCCAGACACTGCTGGTTCCGTTCTACTGTGGCTGGTTGGTTAGCTCAGAACTGGTTTACACCAGGTTTTCCCATCTTATTTCTGTACCTCAGTTAAGGTCATACCTTTCTGACTTACTCTGTGATTAGAGTTCTCTTCCAGATGATCATAAATATAGTTGCCACTCCCAATTAAAAGACTTAATGGTTCTGCATCACATACAGATCAAATTTTTTGTCCTTTGAAAACATATTCATTTCACCTGGCTTGCCTACTTTTTCAGTTCTCCCTGCTACTTCTGGTCTTCTATCCTTTAAACTTTTCTCTCAACGTCCCCATATGAAAACAAGCCCTTTATATTTCCCAGCTCCATATCTTGACTCATACAGCTTCCTCCACTGGAAATGACCTTCTGTATCAAAGTCAACTCATCTTCCATTTCTCTTCCACTTGGAGTCAATCCAAGTGCAGTGGTGAAGGTATGGCTTCTAGCCCCCAACTTCCTGCTTTTGACCCCAGGCTCTGCCACTTACTGGTTTGGATCATTTCCTTAACCTCTTTGTGCTTCAGTTCTCTCTAACACTGGGAAAATAGTACTGTCCATCTCATAAAGTGGCTGTGACAATGACACTCTTACAATAGTGCTTGGTGCATGGCAAGCCATGAATAAATATTAGCTGTAGAGTAATTATTCTTCCCCAGAACACCTCTTTGTCTTGGATTTATCCTGCAGTTATTAGCCTGATAAGTATGATTTGTGAATGTGTCTGCCTTTCCTACTATATTGAAACTGTGTAGAAGTCAAGAACTCACATAAATAACTTACCTTATGTATTTGGAGTAATGTTCTGAATATCATAAATACTCACCTGGTTTTTATTAAAATACTTTGACTTTCCTAACAAGATGTGAAAACTGAAGGTGAATTTTACTCAGCAGACACCAGGGGAAGTGAAACAGATTACCCTGAGGCTACTTCTTAGCACCTAACTGCAAGAGGCTATCCTGGAGGCTGCCTGTCTTCATAGCAGCTCCCCTCTATGAGCTCTTCCCATTATCACCCAGGCACCTGAGGAAAGTAGTTCCATGGCCTTCCTTTTGTGTCTGTACTACAACTGGGAGGTAATCAGCCTGTTAAGGAACAATCTTGAAGTTGTCTGCCACCTTCAACCAGACAGCTGGTCAAAGGTAAAAGGATCTCCTGGCACCTGCTCTTTCAAAGTATGACCCATGTAACCTATGTAACTTGTTTTCAGAAATCAGACGCAGAGGCTCCAAAGACCCCCTGGTGAAAGCTCTTCAGTTGCTTGACAGCCCCTGCGAGCCAGGGGAGAATGGCACAAAGTCAGAGACTATGGCTAAGAGGCGAAGTTCCAAGGACCTCCTGGGGAAGTCACCACAACTCTACGACACCCCCTATGAGCCAGCTGAGGGAGGCCCTCGGGCAGAGGCCAAGGCACGGCCCACAGACAGCCGGCTGCCTGAAGACGATGAGAGGCCAGCAGCAGAGTATGAGCAACCCTGGGAGTGGAAGAGGGAGCAGATTGTGCGTGCCTTGTCAGGTGAGGGCGTTCCCATACTGCTTTACCTGCTAGTTGGGTGGCCAAATAATTTTCTTCTTAAAACTTCTTATCTTTTTTTAAATTGACACAGGGCTAGAGGTGTGGCTCAAGCAGCAGAGTAGGAAGCCCTGAGTACCAACAAAAAAACAAAGAAGTGTACAGAGTTATTGGTTACAATGTAATGTTTCAATACATGTATACATTGTGTAATTATCAAATCATTAACATATTTATCACCTTAATTATCCCAGCAGGAGCTCATTCACATGGACACTAAAAAATTGTCTCTGAAATGCAGAGTAGAATACTGGTTCCCAGAGGCAGGGAAATGTACAAGGGAAGAGGATTAGGGAGACTCTGGTCAACTGTACAAAGCTACAGTTAGAGAGGAACATTAACTTCTGAGGATCTGTTACACAGTAGGGTGGCCATACTGACAATAATGTATACTTCAAAATAGCTACAAGAGGCTTCTGAATGCTGCATCAAGACCATTTTCTTTTTGGTCACTGCAAGTCTCTCTTCCCAAGGAGTTTGAGACAGGGAAATAATAATCTAGCTCTGGTTCAAAGACCAAGGCTGAAGTTGCACCCTTAAAACTGTATTTGTTTTTTTATCCTCATGGCTATCTTTATTTTCCTTTTTCTTCTCAGTGTGCAGCAGTTTTGGCGGTACCTTCAATGACTATTAGAAAAACCTATCTGATCACTGTACATTTATTTCCCCACCACTGAAGCCATCAAATTGGAAGCAGCCTTTCCTAACTCTTCTTTGGTGCTGCTAAATCCCTGATTATAAAATGTCAGGAGTTGGTTTTGTTGGCTCACACCTGTAATCCGAGCACTTCAGGAAGATCACAAATTTGAGGCTACCCTGGACTACATAGTGAAACCCTGTCTCAAAAAGATAGATGGATGGATGGATGGATGGATAGATAGACAGACAGACAGGTAGGTAGATAGATAGGGCTGGAGGCATAGCTGAAGTGATAGAGCACCTACCTAGCAAGTATGAGGTCCTGAGTTCAAACCCTATTACTACCAAAAATAATAATCACTATATAGATTATTATTATTACTAAAATAAGTTGGCAGACTTGGATAAAATGGATTATAGGTGAAGATGTTTGGAAAGCTAGATTTTTAACTTACTTTTTTTTGTGGTACTGAGGTTTGAACTTGCACTTGCTAGGCAAGTGCTCTATCACTTGAGCCATACCCCTCAACCTGAAGCTAGATTTTTGTTTTGGTTTTTGCTTGTTTGATATAGGGTCTTTGTATCCTCCTGCCTCCATCCTCCTGCCTCAGCCTCCCTAGTGCTGGGATTACAGGCATGCTACCATGTCCATCTTGAAGCTAGCTTTTTGTTTTGTTTTTAAATAAAAATTGATAAGGAATCAATTCATAAGTAAGCATATGGTAGTTGCCTGCCTGTTATCCTGGCACTAGGGAGGCTGAAAGAGGAAGGTGGAGAGTTCATTTCTTCAAGTGTGGACTTTTTTGGGGGGGAGTAAAAGGGGTTGGTGGATGTCTCAGTTGCCCAGGCTGGCCTCAGATTCCTAAAATCAGCCTCCCAAGTAGCTGGGACTTGTAGTCCCAGTATGAGCCACCATGCCCATCTCAAGTGTGAATTTTAAAGTAATTTAAGAGAAATTTGATAAGTAAGTTGTCAATAAATATCAAAGGCAATTTATCCCCCATGCTTCTCCCAGGACATAGTTCCACTTAGCTGCTACAGATTTCTTTTGCCTTTGACTTAAAATTTTAGGCATTTCTTTTTAACAGTAAAGCCAGGTTTATAATTAAAAGTAAAGCCATTGTAAAGGATGTATACAGAAGAATATATTTGATATATAGCTAGAAAATATATTTGATAGCAAACATTTGAGTCAGTTTTATTGTGATTTTAGTCTTGTTTTGAGCAAATCTAAATTGGGTACCTGGTATTTTCTCTGTTCTGTGCTGGGCATTGCCATTGGATGTCTATCCTGTTTCTGAGTTGATTTTTCTTTTTTGTTTTATTATTTCATAGCAAAAACTGTTCATTTGATCTGACAGAATGAAACTGACTCTTACAAAAAATCACTAGTGGAACTGTTTAGATTTTTATTCTAAAAAATACTAAAGCTAAAAAAAAATTTTATCAATCCACCCCCAAAATACTAAAGGTAGCATTCTTAAAAGTCTGTGCTGAAGTCTGTCCTCTCATGTCTGACACTATTTTATGTTGACAAGTATCTTAAGGAAAAGTGGCTGTTTATGGGATGCTGGCAGTGTAATCATACATCGAGGACAGCAGGGGCTCAGCTGCCGGGGTATTCTGCTGCATAGTAGAATTTACATTTTAGGGTAAGATGCTTCTTCCCTGAGCTAAAGCAGGCATGGAGGTTTTTCCCTTTGAAGTTCACCTGGACTGCCCCGTGGTCTATGATGTTAAACGAAGTCTTCCTTCCAGTCCAGTTTGAAGGATCTGAGCGACCTTCCATCAGGGAGGAGACAACAAGGCAGCACCACCGGCAGAAGAGCTGGACCCAGAAGATCCTGAAGCCAGCCCTGTCAGACCACAGCGAGGGCGAGAAGGTGGACCCCAGCCTGCCCCTGGAGAAGCAGCCGTGAGTGTCCTTCACTGACCCTGTGATAAACACCACTCACGCTAAGTCTACTGATGGCCTTGTTTGGGGCCATGCACCTTGGTCCACTCGACATGACTCCTTTTCTCATAAATACTTGTTTAAGTGGGACTTATTCATGAAAACCCATCTTCCAAGCCCAGTGCATTTGTGAGGAATGAAAAAGGGTCCCAAGAACCTTGTTTTAAAGCTTTTTCTCCCATACAGAGTGGAAACTTTCCGAATGGCACAACCTGTTGATTCATTCTCCTGTGATTGATGGGCTTTGTAACCTAGGATCACCTACTGAGTCTTGTCTACTCTGAATGTGAAGCAGGATCTAGTTCAGAAGTTCATTTCAAACCGTGCTTTAGGGAAGGATGTGCACTCTGGATTTCACTTTAGCACTCATGGCACCTTCTCTCCCTCAACCCCCACTTTTCAGTTGGTATCATGGCACCATCACCCGGGCTGAGGCTGAGAATCTACTACAACCATGCAAAGAAGCTGGTTACCTGGTTCGAAATAGTGAGTCAGGAAACAGCAGGTACTCCATTGCCCTGAAGTAAGTATTGCAGCCTCATGGACCGCCTTATCTCAAGGGAGGGGTACACTGTGAATGTCTTTTCTGCCATGGGAGATGACTGGTCAAAATAAATTTTGAAGCCAGGCACCTGACTCATGCCTATAATCCTACCTACTTAGAAGGTAGAGATCAGGAGGATCTAGTTCAAAGTCAGCTCAGGCAAATAGTTCATGAGACCCTATCTTGAAAATACCCAACATAAAACAGGGCTGGCGTGCTTGCCTAGCAAGTGTGAGGCCCTAAGTTCAAACACCAGTGCTGCCAAGAAAAATTTAAAAATTAAAAAAAATAAAATAAAATTTTAAAGGAAGAAACTTAAAGTTCCCTTTGTATCAAGTTGTATGTAAAACATTGATACATCTCATCACAAAATGAAAGTTTTAGTTTAATGAGGAGGTGCTTCATAATACTATACTTTTTGATGTTTTTTGGAAAGGTTACATTTAGATCTATTATGAAGCTATACATTTCTAAACTTATTAGCATAAATTAATTGTACAAATGAGTTTCATTGTGATATTAACAGCATGCATATAATACACTTTGATCAAATTTACCCCATCTATATTATTCTTTCTTAACCACTCTTTCTCCTCTTTTTTTTTTTTTTTTTAAGTTTTTGTTGGGTTTCTTTATGTTTTTTTGGGTTTGTTTTGTTTTGTTTTGTTTTGTTTGGTAGGACTGGAGTTTGAACTCAGGGCTTCACAACTGCTTGCAAAGCAAGCACTCAAAAAGCAGGCACTCTAAGGGCTGGTGGAGTGGCTCAAGCTGTAAGAGCGCCTGCATAGCAATCATGAGGCCCTGGGTTCAAAAAGCAGTCACTCTACCATTTGAGCCACACCTCTAGTCATCATTGTACTATTTTCATATAATGTTCTCACACACACACTGTCACCTTCTTTTCCTCCTTCTCCCACCAACTGGCTCCCCCTCAAACAGTCCCCCTTTTATGATCATGTCATATTAATATTTTTTAGGTCTAGATTCTGCATATGAGTGAAAACATGATATTTATCTTTTTGAATTTATCTCTTGGAGTTATTTGTGTGTATTTGAACTCAGAGCTTTGTGCTTGCAAAGCAGGTGCTCTACACTTGAGCCACATCTCCCGTCCATTTTGCTCTGCTTATTTCAAAGGTGGGGTCTTGCACATTATTTGCCCAGGCTGGCCTTGAACCACAGTCCTCCTGATCTCAGCCTCCCAGGTAGCTCAGATAATAGGCATGAGCCACCAGCACCTGGCAAACTGTTTATTTTTAATATATAAAATGTAATAGGTTTCACATGAAAAAAAGTGGTTCACAAGGGTATGTATCACCAGAAAATAAGATGCACTTGCCTACACAATGGAAGATAGAAGAAAAACTGTGATTAGAATGCAGAATTAGTATTGGGTAAAGGCCCTAATATCTGTTAAAATAATTAGGGTCCTATTTCATTATTATTGTACATTAGTCAGTTCCTACCTTATATTACCTGACTTAAATTAGAGACTCTCAGCAGAGAAATAATTCCTGATAAAAGAAATAATAATTTCACTGGAGGCATTGTGCAAGTAGTAGAGTGTTTGCCTAGCAATGTGCAAAACCCTGAGTTCAAACCCCAGTACCACAAAAAATAAAAGTAATTTCCAACAGGTTAGTTCAGTCACTATACTTCCTGAGCATTAAGGACTTTAATAAATCGGATCCCTTGATTGTCAAAATGCCAACTGCAATTTTGATACCAGTCTCTCTGGTAAAGAAGGAAATGTTGACTTGCCTATTGCTCTCTCTTTCTAATTGTACACAGAAAATTCACTTTTGCCTGGTAGGCCTAGTAGAGTGTGTATCATGGAAATTCTCATTGCTCTGTGAGTTCAGCCACACTATACTGGAGGATCATTGTCAAGAGCCCTCACAGCATTTCCTTCCTGAGGAAGCTGAGCCCCTGCAGCTGAAACAATCAGACTGGAGGGGAAAAGAGGGGGGGAGGGGTGTGGGCAATATGGCTCAGAAAATGGGCTAGGCCACTAGATATACAATACCAGGAATAGCTCTACTGTGTTCCTGAAATTGGTGCTTGTGGATTAGATCTTTGAGACTTCGGTGCCAGCTGTTATTATATACAACCAGGAATAGTCTTTCCACATGGGGAGGGGGAGAGGAAATAAGTTTATGATGGTGATGATGATGCTTTTTGGGGGGCGGAAAGGAAGAAACCTCACATGTGTCCTTTTAGCAGTGGCAAGGAGGTTGATTTAAACTTTACCTTGGCAGCTATGGACTTGATCCCAAGCACTAGTTTTGGAATTTGGGGGCTAGCAGGAACCTGGCTTCCTTCAGTACCTGATGACTCATGTGTAATAAGGATAAACAAGTCAAGGATGCCATGTGTTCAGGCTGCAACACTTCCTACAGCTCTGCTGGAGTGTGGATGCATTTCTGTTTATGTAGAACAATTCCAGGAATGGAAGAGGACCTGTCAGCCCATTGTGAATCTGACTGCAATTGTGTTCAGTGGGGAGGGATCCTCTGCTCACTCATTCATGTCTCCTCCTTGGTTTTTATTTTGCTGCAGGACTAGTCAAGGCTGTGTCCACATCATAGTGGCTCAGACAAAAGACAACAAATACACACTGAATCAGACAAGCGCTGTGTTTGACAGCATCCCTGAAGTGGTACACTATTATTCGAACGAAAAGTTGCCTTTTAAAGGAGCAGAACACATGACCCTTCTCTACCCTGTACACAACAAGCTTCACTAAGCTTCAGCCAAGAGCCTTGGGCCTCTGACACCAAAGAGGGCAGCAGCACCCAACCGGCATTTCAGTGGACTAGGTGGACTATGCCTTATACCTACTGCCAAGTGGGACTAAAAGTCAGGAAGTCTGTGGTCTTGAATCCATTTCAGGATGCTTAGTTTGTGACCTGTCCTTTTCTCCATGCTAAGTAGCTGCGCTGTAAGGTAGCATAACTTACCTGTTGCCTCCTTTTTTGGAGTAGGAGATTCTGTTTGGGAAGTGACCCTCAGAAAAGGTAAGTCTAGAGTTTGGGAGCATTGAGGTTCTCCAGCAGTGTGCTAGTTTTCCTAAACAAACCAACAGAACACCACTTGGATTTTACATGGGATCGTGTGGACCCAGAGCGTGGCATGTTGAACCCCTTATGGGGAAGTGGATGGACAGTGGGAAATGTGAATGATAGGCAAGAAAGCTGTCTTTCTTCCTCCAGTATCCTAATTCAACTCTGGCCTTTATGCAGATTCACAACTCTGGAGTCTGGCCAAAGGATTATTTTGTTGGTGAGCCTTTTTAAGAAAAATTTCTGTTTTCTTAATCTTCATGGAGTTTTCATTTTCCAGCAATCAATATAAGCATAAATTGGAAGAAAAATACCACAGATTTAGGAATCACCAATATAATTAGCACTGACATCCTTATTATAATTCTGAATGTAGAATAAAATATACACCAAGGATTTTATTTCTTATTTTCAAAAATTCTAAAACTCTACTAAGCTCAACAACTGTTTTCTTATGGGTAATTATATAGAATTTTAGGTATCTGTTTTCTCTTTGTGCATTTTAGCTGTCTCTAAAATTAGATTTGTTTTGTATTTTTAGTAAATTTTAAAAAAATAAGCTTTGGGATCTGATCATTTGAACTGGATGCTAGAGTCTGCCAAAATTCTCTCTTGTACAGAACGGACCAGTTCACACTGTATAAAAGTATTCTAAGACTTTGAGGTTGTCTTAAACTACTATTCCTTAAGATATTAAATTAATAGTCATAATGCTGTTATCTTTATGATTTATTGTGAATTTGTATCACCAATTTATTTACTGTGAAAAAGCCCGTGGAAATGGAATGCTATGAGAACACTATGGTGAGTGGCTCTGTAGAACTTAGCAGATGTTTCTGGCTCTGTGGTTGTAATTTGCTTCTCAAAACTGGTCGCAGTGTAAATGCACTATCATTAATGAAAAGTTAACTTTTGTAGCTTCTTTCAAATACACACTCACACACAAAAAAAAATTGATTTGTTTGATTTTTCAAGGAAGCATTCTTCCTAGTTAATGGTTGTTTAATGATTGTGATTTAGAGATTACTAAATTTCCTTGCTTCTTTTTCAGTTAAGATCATAGCCAAAGGGTTGTGTGATCTTGATTTTAAAAAGTTGAGAGGAACTTTTTCTCACGGGAGCTCAGTGATTTTATGAATAAAGGATGTTTTGTTTTTAAAGTATTGATGGGATTTTTAAGTGTATATTGGTTCATGTTAGTACAAGTTTTTTTTCAGCATTCGTAGTTCCATTTCCATTCAACAAATATTTATTCTATATGCACATTATTCATTGTGTTAAACTTATTTTTAGTTCATCATTCAAGCAATGAAACCTTATTTTTACTTAACCTTATTCTACAAAGGAAATTGAGCAATTATGTTAACTTTAATAAATGCTAAAAGCTTTATATAATTTTTCTTTGTGCATTAAATGATTTTTGACCCATACCCAGCAATTACGATGAATGTATAATGAAATAACATTTTGAAAGCAGGCCCGATACATTAAGTATTTATTGAGCTTCTATCATCTGCCTAGGATTGTACTTCCTTTGTATGTTTTTCTGTGGAAGTCATACTGTTTTCTTTATATAATTAAAAGTGCAGTGATGTGGAGTTTATATATAGTCCAGTTACTTTACAATTGTATAGGAGGTTATAATCAGCAGAAATACAGAAAACTAGTAGAAGGCCAGTGAGGGGGTGTTAAGCTGTATTTTCTTCTTAGGTTGTGACACAAGCTGACAAAAGCCAGGGAATTCACAGCTGGGTGGTGTCATAAAGTACCATATGTTCTAAAAAACAATTAGGCCCAGCAGGGTGTCCCTAATGGCTTCCTTGTTAAGTCTCATGGGCCAGCTGATCTGAAGCTCTAGGATGGTTCTCTGAGCTCTGAGTGCTTTGGCTTTCTGTCATGTTTTCTTCATAAAAGTATTTTCTGTGGTCTTCATTCTTTTGAATTTATTTTGTCTCCTATAATAATATCTCTTAGTGAATTCTTCGCACACGTGCCTTGAATTTAATATCCATAGAGCTGTGTGGGTTCTTTCTCCTTTATAACAACTTTTTTGTAAAAACTGCTCTGCTCCCTGCTGCTGGGTTGGTTAGTTTCAGGTCTGTAAGAACAGAAAGCAGAAGGCCTCATGATGCAGCAGTCGTGCATCTAACCCCACAAACAGAGGGCATCTGTAATTCTGCCCAACTACCCAGGAGGCTGAGGCTCAGAAGGTCAAGCCTGGAACAGAGCAAGACCCTGCATCAAAGAAAGACCAAAAAAAAAGGCAAAGACATTTCTATTTCCTTTGATACCACAGCTATTTCCTTCAGAATGGATTTCAGCTACATGTATATTTAAAAAGGAATAAAATAATGGAGAAATTTTAGTATGTATACAAAAAGGCAAATACTAATATAGCTATTCTCTAATGGAGTCAGAATTGTCCTCTTACATTATTCAAGGTGCTTTTGTAAGAAGTATTTATAAAAAGCACTTTTATTCTTTGCTATTTAAAGTCTGTACTTTGCTGATTTGGTGTTCACCTGTCAGCCCCTGCTGCAGGATGGGAAAGTGGACAGAGAATCTACAGGAAAGCCAGATGTTTTCAAGACAGGTAGGAAATGGCCCCAATTTGTTAATTGTATTATGAACAGTGTTATTACTCAGTTGCTGTTGGAGATGCCTTAACACAGAATAAAGGGCTGGTAGAGTGGCTCAAGCAGTAAGAACACCTGCATAGCAAGTGTGAGGCCCCGAGTTCAAACCTCAGTGCCGCCAAAAAAAAAACAGAATAAGACATTCATCAGTTGCTCTTTAAATGAGAGCGTCCTTTCTATTCTATGAAAATGTCCTTTTTTAGTCAAATGGTAATGCCTGTTTTTTCCTTCACTTTAGTGGGAAGAAAGCCAATGATGTGACATTGCATTTCTCCTTCAAATGCCTTTGATAGTTAGCAGCATCTCATTGATAACCTTTCTCTCGTTCATTTGTTGTCTCTTATTTTCCATAACCAGCACTAGTTTGACATTATTATCTCTTCAAAATTTCTCTTCTTTATTTTCAGTTCTAACTTTTGCACCCCACTAACTTGGACTTAGGGAAACTTGGCCAGCACAGGCTTTCCCTGTGCCTTAGCCCCCTTCATGGCGGACCTGGTATCACAAAAGGTGGTGTTTTACTGCCATCTAATGGAAAGTGAGAAAACTGCAGTTGGGAAAACAAGCTGTGGGTTTAAGAGTAGTATTTTCTAAAGGAGTTCTGATAAAGTCCATTAAGGGAAAAAAACGATGGCATAGGAGTTGCCATCTTGAAATATGTCCTTTCCTGCAGAAAGGAGGATTTCAAGCCTAATATAACAACAATGGCGAACCATCTGGACGCTGGCTGTGTCGTGAGGTCAGAAACTTAAGTTGTGTTTTAAAGAACATAGGCCAAGAGACCATTGAAACAGTCATCTGATTTTGGCACGTTCTTAGCCATTCAGTTACTTAATGCCAAGGAGGTTTAACATTTTAAATATCAACTAACACATTGTTTTAACTTTTAAAAATATTTGGAAATTATATGTAATACAGATGCCTATCTGTAGCGTGTTGGTAATTTATATTGTATCAGAATTATTTTATAAGATTTCTAGATGTATTTCTGTAGCCAGTGTAGGCTTTGCACCCTCCTGAAGATGGTTTACTCTGAAATATAACTTTAAATAAACATCATGCCAAGAAAGCTAGAGTGTTTTTGCTTAAACATTAAGGTGATTTGGTTAGTTTGTATGTGGGCCGTTGGGGGGGTTGCTGGGGATCAGACCCAGGGCCTTGCACTTTTAATAACTCCACCACTGAGCCACACCTCACCCAGTTCATCCAGCTTTGAGAATCTCCTCCTTTCCTAAAACACGGTGCAAACAGTTACAGAAGAGCTTTATTTGCAACTGCTGTGAGCAAATGTACAAATCACAATTAAACACTGCCAACTGACCTGTCGTTTGTTTTTTTGTGTTTGTTTTTACTCTCACTTCACTTAGAGTTATTCTATTGTGTTTTCCTTCCCCAATACACTGTAACAGTGCAGTTTTTCTCTGTTTCCTTGGCCCATCTTCCTCCTGAGGAGACAGTAATTGCTTTGTTCTGTCCCTCCCTGGGTATCAGAGTTGGACTCTGTGTTTGCATCATTGTTTAAACAGTTACTGATACAACTGCCCCTATACCATCAGTGGACTTTCATGCTGTAAGTCTGCTATGAAGCTAGAAAAATCCATACTAAAGAAAATTCTACCAGGTGATTTTGATACACAGCCATGACTGAGAACCACTGTTGGAACTTAGTACTTAGACACATGCAAATTAAGTCATTTGAGATCCTAGAAGAACGGTATCCTGTTGAGTCCAGTATCGAATTTTTAATTTCCATTGAACATTTATATAAATTGCCACCAGGTGGTACAGTTGCCTATTGTTTTTTGACATCTGTGTTTAAGAGAAAGGGAAGTTGGCATTAAGAAATATTCCCTCCACCCTCCTCTAGAGCAATCACAATAATGTTTTTCAGAACTCAGATTGAACACGTTTATAAGTGCCCAGGGTTTGGGTGGTAACTTTTGGATTCTGATCTTGCAAAAGGCCAAGACCTAAGTAATGACAATCATTCCACATGATCTGGTTTTACTCCTCTACAATCAGGAGCCAGGGGAAGCCTCGTTTTCAGATAAGGACCCTGAAGCTTGAACTATCAAATAACTTGTTCTGGGTCATTCATAGTGGTAGAACCCAGATTGAGCCCAGGGCTGATTCTGGAGTTTAATGGAGTCTAAGTATCTTTTTAACAATTTGAGATAGAGTCTCTCTATGTAACCCAGGGTGGCTTTGAACTCCTGACTACTTGAATTACAGGCATGCACTACCATGCCCAGCAAGTTCTGACTCTTAGCACAGCTCTGCTTTCCCTTTCAGAGAGGTAACCTGGCCTGAAGAACTCTTCACTTTGAAGAACATAATTAGTTAAACTAGAACAGCAATAAATAAGTCACTTAGTTTTAGTTAGCATATGAAAAATAAATTTGTATTTAAAAAGAAGATTCACAAAAGCCAAGAAGTGGAAGCAATTCAAGTGTCCATGAGAGATCAATGGTTAAGCAAAGTGGGGTATGTACATGTGCCTTAAAAGGAAGAAAATTCTGGCACATGCTATAACATAAATGAAACTTGAGAAGTGCTCAGTGAAATAAAAAAGTCAATGGTGGGTACTGGCAGCTCATGCCTGTAATCCTAGGTACTTGGGAGTCTGAGATTGAGAGGATCTAGGTTCGTGGCCAGCACAGGTAAATATTTTGCAAGACCCCAACTCCAAAATAACCAGAGTACAG